GGAAAGGTTTTGGGGCATCGTAAAGGGATGAAGTGGCAGAGGAAGGCAAGATAGGTGGATACTAACAGCCTGGGAGATAAACAGAGTCCTGGAGTGGGGGTTTAGGGGTGTGAAGTGAATGTGTGGGAGTGAGACAGCAGGAGACATTCAAGGTTGAGCTTGTGCATGGAATGTTCTGGATGAGACAAGCTTTAAGGTGGAAATACTTAAGGACTGTCTGAAGTGACATATTTTGAGACAAAGAGATAAACTTTCTTCTCTCTCTGTGAACAGCACCACCTCCCACCAGTCACCTAAACCTAAAATCTGGAGTCACTCTAGAAGTTTGGTCTTTTTTCCTCCCTCACGTTGAGTTGGCCATCAGATCCTTACAATTGTATTTCCTAAACATCTCAATTACAATTGCCTCAGCTGAAAACCTTGAAATCACTTACAGAATTTGGCCTCAGTCCTGATAGTCACACCCCCTTGCCCCACTCTCCTTTAAATTCAAATTGTATCACATCACTCCCTGGCTTAAATTCTTCCAACGGCTTCCCATTGCCTTAAGATACAAACTCCTTAGCAAGGCAGACAAGGTCCTTTGTATCTGGTCACTGTTCACCTCTGTGCTTTAGTCACATAGTTCCCTGTGACTAAAGGTCCTTGGAAAGACCTCCCTCACCTTCTCTTGGATCTTACTTTTTCAAGATTCCTCATACCTGCAGAGATATGAGAACCTCTATTTCCTTCCCCAGGAGAAATGACTGTCAAAGATTGAGTAGCTCCTTGTGCATTCTCCTGGCTAGAACTTACCATGTGCTTCCTCCTCTGTTTGAGAGCTCTGGAGGAGAAATAATGTTCATTTCACTTGTAAACTTCAGAGCCTACCATAGGGTCTGGCCAGAGCACATGCTCAATGGATATTATTGAATGAAGAGAGAATGAATGAATGTTGAAATCACCTTAGCTAACGGTAGGAGTTGGGGTGGAGGACTGTGAGTCACAGGCCAAAGTCCTGGATGAACGTGAGTGTTTGCCAGCTGGGTTTCATGGTGCCTGGTCATCAACAACCTCTTTTAGAGAAACTGCATTGTCTACTAGTCAGCTGTCTGGCAGCCCCCATCCTGACCCCATTCCTGTACAAATGAGTAAATTGAGTGATCCCACCCTTCTATTGGCTTGGCAGGGACCTGTGTGACCTGTCATGAAAAGATGAGCTGGGTTAATCTGATCTTCTCCTGGGATCTTGGAATTGGGAAACAGGTTAGCGATAAGCTCCAGGAGCAGAGGTTGAAAGGATATATCAATAATTGTCAGGGCCGGCCCGATGGCGCAAGTGGTTAAGTGCGTGCGCTCCGCTGCGGCGGCCCGGGGTTCCCTGGTTCGGATCCCGGATGGGCACTGACGCACCGCTTGGCAAGCCATGCTGTGGCGGCATCCCATATAAAGTGGAGGAAGATGGGCATGGATGTTACCCCACGGCCAGTCTTCCTCAGCAAAAAAAAAAAAAAAAAAAAGAGGATTGGCAGATGTTAGCACAGGGCTGATCTTCCTCACACAAAAACAAGTAATAATAATTGTCAAGATATATATAGCAGAAGTTGCAGAGTGGCCCTGGAACTTATTTTTATGACCTGTGCAATGTTTTCTAATATTTTGGAAGAGTTGTTAAATTTGAAAATTGGGAGGTTTCACATTAAAATCTGGCTATTTGGCTTCTCCTGTGAAACCTGAAGATCTGATATGGCAAAAACTTACTGGAGCTGAGCAGTACACAGGGCACATGCTTTCCCTTCCACCCCTCCATACTGCTTACACTTGGCCAGCTTCTTCCTTTACATCATCTGCTTGGCTCCTGTAGCCATCTGACAATCAACTTGTTGCAGGAACTAGTAGCAGCGAGGGATTATATGTAAGCCAGGTTCACAGGGGAACAGAACCCACAAGAGAGCAGAGAGGAAACTCGCATGGAGTTGGGGAGTAGGTGAGAAAGAGAGAGGATACAGCCACCAAGAGAGGGAAACCAGTTCCCAGCGATGCCTGGGTTCCTGGGCTTCCCAGTTCCAGTACCTGCCCACGGTTATGCTCATCATAACTTCGTTTTCTTGAGAGAATTTGCAATGCAATTAGCCAAGCTAAGGCAGGGAGTTACTAGGAAATTGGTAGATAACACCAATGAAGAAAGTGAGACAGTGGTATAGCCAGATGATTAGCTTGAAACAAGAAGAAATTCTTGCCTGAAGGTGAAATGTAAATTGTAAGTTGCTGTCAAGAGTTAGACTGTTGCTGACCATGTATCCTGGCCCAGGAGGATCAAGAAGGGGGGGACTGAACAACCTCTGCTCAAGAGAACGTATAATCAGAAGTATCTTCAGAGGAAATCAGAAGCATTCTGGGAAGGACTATAGGTATGCAGGGTTTGGAGAAAGGGACTGGGAAGTCTGGGGAGAAAAAATTTGGAGGAGATTTAAGGTTTGATCATTTATATTCTTTAAGAGTGTAGACTGGGCCTGGTAATTAACTTTCACTGTGTGTTGAAAAGAGAGGTCTGTATTTCAGCAGAGATGGCTTCCTGAAAGAGGTGGCATTTGAGCTGCATTTTAAAGAGGAGAAGAAAAGGAAATGTGTCACAGGCAGACAGAGCACAACTGCAAAGGTCAAATTCTAAAGGCGAGAATGAGCAGTTCGAAGTTAAGTGTCTGTTGTCACGAGAACTGTGTTCAGCCTGAGTCACCTAACAGGTTATTTTTATATCTTGAGGCCTTGGTTTCCATTGTTATAAGATAAGAATAACAATACTGGGGGTCTGCCTGGTGGTGCAGCGGTTAAGTTTTCACGGTCTGCTTGGGTGGCCTGGGGTTCACAGGTTCTAATCCCAGATGCGGACATACGCACCATTCATCAAGCCATGTGTGGCGGTGTCCCACATATAAAATAGAGGAAGATGGGCACAGACGTTAGCACAGGGCTAATCTTCCTCAGCAAAAAGAGGAGGATTGGCAACAGATGTCAGCTCAGAGCCAATCTTCCTCACCAAAAAAAAAAAAAAAGAATAATAATGTTGTATTTCTTCTATTCTAAGACTAACTGTTCCCACCCTACCCCACTTTTAATATTTCTTAATTTAGGACATATCTTATAATTGATACCTCAAAATTCTTGCTTTACCATAGAGCAGAAAAGAAAAATTGTGACAGTGTTATCACTAACTGGGTATATCAGCCATCCACAGAAAGAAGATGTTCATCTGATAATTAGCTTAGTTGAATTATTTGCATTGATGGTGCCATGGAGTTGAGTTTTAATTTGAATCCCAAAGTGTCACTTTAGGTGTCTTCCAAAAGGTTACATTGTGTTGAAGCCCTGAAACAATAAGCTATTGTCTATACAGATAGTAGTCATGCATCAGGAATACAATTAAATGTAGAAATGGCCAACTCTCTTTCTAAATTTGACATAGAATTTACGAATCTAGAAGAGGTTGGCTTGATCAACTGGTGTCTCAGGACACTGAACGTTTAACTGTCAATAGTTTCTAGTGATCAGGAGAAGCTGTGTAGATTCCAGGGATATGTAGTTCAATTTAAAAAAGAAACGAAGTTTATAATCAAAGAAGAAACATATATAAGCTTGTATATTCTTTGAAATGTCTCAAAATTATACTGTTATTTTTTTTAAAGGTGCTAAAGAGATCAAGATATAACTATAGGTTATGAAAAAAAGCATGTCATCATGCTATACTTAGTCAGATGGTCAAAAGGGTTATATAAGACTTTAGGCTGTGGAAGTGAGGTGGCTTAAACTTAACCTTTGATTATGGTACTGAAGAAGAAAGTGGTACAGTTAAGATAATAGCCAACATTTATCGAATGATTACTATGTGGTACTGTGTTAAGTCCCTTTAGAGTTCTTATCTGTTTTAGCCTCAGGACAACTCTATCAGATCAGTGGTGTTATCTTCATTTTACAGAGAGAGAGCTAGGAGGTAAATCCAGGAAGCTTGCCTCCAGACCGGCTCAGAGCCACTGTGCTGTTAGAACACTCTACCTGTGCATTTTTACGGATACGCCTATGCCTTTTAGGTTGGGTTAAAAAGTATACGTTTAAATATAACATATCCATGGTGCTTTTTACAATCAATGACATCTTAGATCACAAGTATGGTAAATACATGCCTTATAGGATTATTGTTAGATCAGATGATGAATATCTCGCAGTGCTCCTAGAAAAATCGTGGATCAGAGGGCAGGTGTTGCAAGTTGGAGTGAGCCTGATTTTCGAAACCCTGTCATCTTAGAACTGGCAAGGCTACTGAGGGAAAGCTGTCAGTAAGGAGGAATGTCTCCCGTGGTTTTGAGAGCGGTTCCTCCACATGGAACGCCCTACCTCTCACACCTGTCTAAATCCTTCTGATCTTTCGATGCCCACCTCAAATGCCAGCTCCTTCAGCAAGTCTCTGGTTATATGAAAAGATATACATGGGAGATATCCCCAAATTATTAAGAGATGAAGCCAATAACTGAAATGCGGATTTTATCATTAAAGTTACCCTCTCTCCTCTCCTGGCCTCAGTTTCTCTAAACTGAAAGGAAGCGGTGGTTCAGCCAATCTTTTCCTTTTATAATTTCTACTCCTAACCTCTTCAGATTTCTGCCAAAGCTGCCTCAAAAAGCAACTCGCCTTCCTCAGACCTGCAGGCGGCGGCTCCTCCGCGTTGGCAGCTCAGCAGGGCGGGGCTGGAGAAGCAGGAGAAAAGGCGGGGGCTCCGCGGGAAGCGCGGCACGCAGCCACGTGACTTCCTTCCCAAGGAGCCTCTGCTGCGGCCTCCCAGCAACCGGGGCGTCCCGCCTAACGAGGGCTGCGCATCCCGGTTGGCCCTCGGGGACGCTGGCGGCTAAGAGGCACCCACGGTCCCGCTGCTCATTGGCTCGGGCTACCGTCACTCAGGAGCGTTGCCGGAGCGCCCGCAGGCGGTGCTGCCGGAAGCCCCGCCCACTGGCCGCCGGGTTCGTGGCTGGCTGGCTGAGCCTGTCACTCCCGGGCCGTTTCCCTGAGGCCGGCGCTCTGCTGGGGGCGGGAGGAAGAGGGGCCGGACTGGGGCCTGACGAGCCGTAGCTGCCGCCGCCGTCTTGGAGGCTGCTATGACCAGCGGGCGAGGCGCTCTCCGCAGCTCCGCGCGGCCCTAGTCGCGGCAGTGCGGCCGCCGTAGCCGTCTGGGTCCCCAGCGCGGCCGCTCCCGCCGCTCCCTCTGCCCTTCCAGCGCCGCCTGCGAGGCGAGGCGAGGCGAGGCGGAGGCAGGATGAAGATGACGGTGGATTTCGAGGAGTGTCTGAAGGACTCACCCCGCTTCAGGTAACCGACGCGGCTGCCCAGCGCCTGGCCGGCGTCCCCAGAGCTGTCTCCGCGGGCGGTGGGGGCGTGAGAGCCGGCCCGCCAACGCGCGCAGGGCCCCGCAGCCCGCGCCTTCGACCGGGCGAGTGGCCGATGCCGCCCTCCCGCCCGGCGAGGGCACTGCAGCCCCGACCACCCCTCCTGAGGGGCGAGGCTGGGCCGGGAGGGGGACGTGGCCGCTTCATCCCCCTTCTCCGCCCTGTGCCCGGGGCGGAGCGCTCCGTCCGAGGAACTGGGGTGCAGCCGCGTACCCGAAGACTCGTGCCCTTTGCGGGCGCGCGCCCTCGTCCCTTCCTCGCGCCGCTCATCCTTCCCCCTTCCTTCCGCTCCTGCTTGGTTTCCACCCCCGCCCCACCCCCTCTTGGAGGGAGCTCGCAGGGCCCCCTCTTGCAGTTCACTTAGTTCCTCTTTGCGCTTTTCCGCTCCCCTTACCCTGGGAGGGGGAGTGGGGGGCGAACCTCGACGTCGATTACTGCCGCCTGCGTGTCCCCTGCCAGAGGGGCTCTCAGGAGGGCGCTGGCGGTTCATTTGCACGGGGGTCGGGGGTGAGAGTGCTTTGACCAGCCGCCTCCTGTCGAGCCCGGGCCGAGATGTCTGCTTTTTTTTCCGCTTAAGCTCTTTGAAGGAGGCACCGCTGTCGCAAGGTGCTGCGTTGAGAGGTGAGGACCAGGAGCAACAGTGCATTTCTGTGTTGAGAACGGAAGTAGGAGGGCCCTGAAGATTGCATTTCTGTTCCTCTTCCAGCAGCGTCGGCTCGGGAGGGCCCCGGAGCACAGTCGGATGCTCCCAGTGGATCTGTCACATAAACTGATGTGGTGGCACTCAGATTCACATGGGCCGCCCTCCCTCCCATGTGAGAGGCGGCAGTCCTCAGGGTGTCCAGAAAACGCGCTCTTTCCGTGGCGCGCATCGTAGGAAACTCTTGAATTGTTTTGGAGAATGGAGTTTTGCTAGGTTGTACGTTACAGTGCATTTACAAGGCTGTCCTTAGGCTTTAAAAAATAAGGCCTTAAAACTTACATTGGATAGTGACATCTCTTGAAAGCACCCCCAGAGCATTCATTGGTGTGTGTGTGCCCCCTGATCTCTCTGCCCAGCCTGGGTTGTAAGTTCTTGCATCCTCCGCCGGGGAACTAGCTGTTCTCATCCTTATCACTGTTAATTTGATTTCCCAGTCTCTTTTCAGTGAAAAGCAAAGAAAAGTATTGTAAAGTTAAGGAACTCCTGCTTTTCAGAGAAAATTTAAGATCGCTTTTTGGTTTTGACCTTTGATTTTTTTTTTTTTTTTTTTGGTGTTAATTTTACTTGGAGCTTAGGGCTGTTGCTTGTAAAAAGCTGCACCTGGTTTGATTGCTTTTGTTGGTATTAGTTTTTGAAACTTATGTTCTGAGTGAATTGAGGACACGCAGGAGACACAAATGGATTGTCTAGGACAGTTTGCAGGTTAAATTCCAGAACCATGTGCAAATACAGTAATTTTTAAAGTGTACCTTAAGAAAGTTCTGCTTTTTGTGAAATTTTTATTAATATGACTCAGCTACTTATTTTTAATGAATTAGTCACAGCATTTTTCTCCTGGAGAATGTGGGTTTGTGCTCAGTTTGTTTCACATTTTAAGTTTGATTTTTTTAAAAAACAAGTTGAAAGAAGTGATATGGAAGTGCTTCCAGCCACTGGTGTTGGTCACAAACCATGTGATATCTTTGTTTTTGAAATAAAGGAATCATTGAATATAAAATAAGAGAAAGATACTGGTTAAGTTGTATGGGCTATTATAGTGAACTTTTGCTAAACTTGGATATAATACTTATTCTATTTTAATTAAGATATTAGAGATTTTCAAGAGTTGTTTCCAATATTCCAATTATTGTGGGCTGCAAATTGGGAAGAGAAACCAAGATTCAAAGAACTGCAATATCTTGTACACATTTTTGGGACTAGATTAGATTTGCAATAGAGGGAAGAATGCCAAGAAATAAAAGGCTCATCATTTACATTCCTAATTTTTACAGTTTTTCTATAACTGCATTACTATTTAGGTTTCTACAGCACTTGGAAAGAATATTTCAGAAGTCTTTTTATTCACATGCTTTACGTATGAGAGAAACTTGGCTTTTAATAGTATTGTGCATGTTTATGAATGCTATATTGAAACTTTCATATCAAAATAGAAGATTTGTGAGAGCTGGACTTTTTTTTTTTGATAGCAAGGCATCTGCACTATTTATTCCTTGTAGTGTCCTGATCTGTTGTGCTGTTTTTAGACTAATTACTATTTTTCTTTTCTTTCACAAATGAATCTTGTGGCATTAAATTCTGCCATGTGGACATAACTGCCTAGAGTGCTGTAGAATTAACCCAAAAGGAACATCTTGCTGAAGAAAAATTTCACCGGTGTTCAACCATTAATCATTAATTTTCCTGTTAAATTGATAAAACAGCAGGGGGACCGGTTGAAATAGGGAGAGAAGAATCTTGCAGTTGCAACCTTGTCTTAAGTAATTTGAATAAAGTCACTGGCTACATTTACCTTCCGATGAACATTTTTTTGTTTGTTTTTAGATTGGAAGGCACATTTCATTGTGTAATTTTGGGTTCTCTTTTTAGTTTTTTAAAAACCAGTCTAAAGGTCAAAATCTTGTTTATCTAAAAAATAAAAATCTACAAGAAAGTAAATGTGTCTAAGTGTGCTTTTTTAAAGTAGGAATTTTCCATTTTGACCAAGATTTATTGAAGAAGCTTGAACTTGTTTGGGCCATAAATTGTATGTATAGCTGCTCTTTAGAATTGCATAAAATTTTAGTAAAAATTGTGTTATGGGTCACTTAGAAAGTGAATATTATGTTTGAAACAAAAAGTTGAATTAATCAGTGCTTTCTGAATTGTGAAAGATTTTTGCTCTGAGCAATGCTCAAATATAAAAATATTGGCATTAGCAAGCCTTCAAACACTTTAGTCTTTATCTCATATATGTATTTTTTATCCTTAACAATATTTATTGTGCACCATTCTGAAGGTTTTTGTTGTAGATTCTATTTCAGATCTGATCCTTGTTCAATAACTTACAATAAAAATCTTTAGAAAGTGTATGGGGCAAAAAGTTTTAAAGGGTGAAAGACTGGTGAAAGACATACATATGTCGGTTATGTTTTGCTGTTAAGCTGGTGTCAGTACTGGCTGCTTTGCCACTTCATCTTCCATCTTTAGAACAGATACTAATAACTGGCACTTTATACATGGAAAATATAGTGGGCAAAGGATGAGGGGAAATATGTTTTCATCTCAGAAGAGGCAGAATTGAATTATAAGGTAATTTTATCATGAACCAAAATACAGGAATCCTGCTGTGCTTCATTGCAGCTTCTGATAATGTAATATCAACTTAAGTTGAAATAAGGAAGGAAAAGCTTTTATAGTGTGCCAGAACTCATACTAGATGCTTTTATAGTTACTCTCTCATTTGATGTTAAAGTATATTGTGAGGTAGGAATTATTATCCTCATTTTTAAATGTTTAAAAAAAATCCCAAACTCGATGTATATATATTTTTTTTGATGAGGAGGATTAGCCCTGAGCTAACACCTGTTGCCAGTCCTCTTTTTGCTGAGGAGGATTGGCCCTGTGCCCATCTTCCTCTACTTTATATGTGGGATGCCTGCCACAGCATGGCTTGATAAGCGGTGTGCAGGTCTGCACCCAGGATCGGAACCAGGGACCCCCGTCCGCTGAAGTGGAGTGCACGAACTTAACCACTACGCCACTGGGCCGGCCCTGTGAATTCACTCTTTTACTCTCTCTTACAAGCCAAGGCTTTAATTGCATTAAGTAAACTTGTGTTAAGTTTGTGTACGGTGTCTTTCATCTTACTGAAATTTAAAAACTGACTTTTGTGTATTGCCTAGAAAAGTCTCCACTCTCTCATTATTGTAGGATATTTTTCTATCATTTTGTAATAATTTTTAGTTTCATGTAATGCAACTGGATTTTAGTTTTGAGTGTGTGAAATAATATCTAATCTTATTGTCTTCCTAATGGAAGCCGCTTGTCCTAATACCTTATTTGAATAATCCATCCTTTCCCCATTGATTTAAAATTGCACACATAAACATATGTACATGGGTTTTTTTCTGGATTCTACTCTTTTCCACTAATTTATCTGTCTGTTCTCCAGCAAATACCATTAATATTTTAGTTACAATACTATATAGTCTGTTATGATTTCTGGTGGAACAAGGTTTCCCTTGTTACTGTTTTTTTTCAAAAGTGTAATTAATATTATTAAGATGACAATACTCCCCAAATTGATCTACAGACTAAACAACAGTCCCTGTCATTCCAGCTGGGCTCTTTATCCAGATGGAAAAGAATGAGGTTGGACCTGTACACCATATGCAAAAATTAACCCAGAATAGATTATAGACCTAAATATAAGAGTGAAAACTATGAAATTCTAAGAAGAAAACATAGGAGTAAATCTTTGTGACCTTGAATTAGGCAATGATTTCTTAGATATGATGCCAAAAGTACAAGCAATCAAAAAAAAAGTTGATAAATTGTATTTCATCAGAAGTTAAAACTTGGGCTTCCAAGGATACATCAAGAATGTGAAAAGACAACCCTCAGAGTGGCAGAAAATCTTTGCAAATCGGATCTGGTAAGGAATTTGTATCCAGAGAATATAAAGAACTCTACAGTTAAGAATAAAAGGGCAAATAAGCCAATTAAAAAATGGGCAAAAGATTTGAATAAACATTTTTACAAAGAAAATGTACAAGTAGTCAATAAGCACATGAAAGATGCTCAACCTTATTATTTAGCAATCAAATAAATGCAAATAAAAACCACAATGAGATACTACTTCATACCCACTAGGATGACTATACTTGAAAAGACAGATAATAATAAGTGTTGTTGAGAATGTCGAAGTGTTGGAACCCTCATAAATTGCTCATGGGAATGTA